ATTCAAATGCCTATTACTATGTTTAGTGATAGCAAATTAGCCATACAACTAGCAGCAAATCCAGTCTTCCATGAAAGAACAAAACATATTGAAATTGATTGTCACTTCATCAAAGACAAGATCAAAGCAGGAGTCATTGACACTGTCTATGTTCATACTCAGCAGCACAACTTACAGACCTACTAACGAAAGGGTTAAGTCAAGCTCATCATTCATATCTTTTGGGCAAGCTTGGTGTGCTTAATATTTTGCACCTTTCAGCTTGAGGGGGTGTGTTCAAATATAATAGTTTGTTACACTGTATTAGTTGGTTATGAGCTACAATACAGTTCCTAATGTTAGTTAATTAGTTAAGTGTAGTTAATTGATGTTTTACTAGTTAGTTACCTCGATTAATGTGTCAAGTAGACAGTTAGATTTTCAAGCTATATAACACTACAACAAAATTGATATTTAACGACCAAATTTTAACGAAAGAATATAAATCCAGTCGTTATAGGTATATATATTCCGTCACAATTTTTTTCCCGTCGTTAAAAGACAATTTTAATATAATATTAACGAAAGAACAATATCCGGACTTTAAGAAAATTAATACCCAGACGTTAATAATAAACTAATGACACATATTAATACCCAAACGCTAACAATAAACTAATGACATATACATTTATTTTAATTAACAATCCATTTTATTTTAACCCTTTTATATTTAACAATTTATTTATTTTTAACAAATAACTTATCCTTTATTACCCTATCCACCCACCCATCAGAACTAGGTCTCCCATTACCCCCACCCATCAATGAGAAAACATCGAGCTTCAGAGAGATGATGAACAATCTTCTCAATTTTTCCGCTCACAAACTTGCACCACGCACGCCACCTTCTCCACCACTTCGATGAGATGCGGCAGTTTCTCAACACATCTTCCTTCTCTTTCGCTAGAAAGTGAGATACCTAAGGGAGATAACTCATAGAACTGATTTGTTGGAGAAAAATCAGCAAAATAGACCACGAAAATTCTGGTACCTTTAACTCCAGGTATCTGTTCAAACTCTTATAAAGGAAATCAACGCCATTTTTTTCTAATTGCAGAAGTCAGCTTTCGTTTTTTACTCTAAATTTCACCTGATTGTTGTTGTTCTTTGTTGTGTGTTACGCTAGAAAGTGAGATACCTAAGGGATCTAACTCAGAGAGCTGATTTGTTGGAGAAAAATCAGCAAAACCGACCACGAATATTCGGGTACCTTTAACTCCAGGTATATGTTCAAACTCTTATAAAGGAAATCAACGCCAATTTTTTCTAATTGCAGAAGTCAGCTTTCATTTTTTACTCTAAATTTTACCTGATTGTTGTTGTTCTTTGCTGTGTGTGACAATAATTTCGCATCTTTTTGGAGTTCCCTTCTTTTTAAAGTATGTTCTTTTGTTTTGACTATGAATTGTTAGGTGAAAATTCTGATTTTGCCCAATTTTATGTTTATTCTTTATGAATAATCTAGTTGTTTTCAGTAGGCTTTTGTTGTACATGATCTTAAACTATGTATACTAGTCATTTCCAGCATATGTTTGTGTGTACTTTTTGCAGTAGCCTCGATTGATAATAAAAGAAGTCGCAATAGTGATAATTATTGAATAAATTTGTCAATCTGAAATCTGATAATTTCCAGGACAAAATTTTCATTATCCTTCACAAGTGTAATTCTATCTTATAATATGATACATTTTTTTGTGTAAGCTGTGGAGATTAGGTTTCCTTAATCCCATTTTCTTTATTATTTTTTTGTTGTTCTAGTCAAAACACAGTAGTTGTAGCACTAATATGAGTTCAAAATACTAACTTTTTTATAACAACGAGAGTGGCCAAGGACCTGACCTTTTATGTACATACACTGCAATCTTTGCAAATAATTTAGCAAGGAGGAATTATATATATCATCTTTTTGATAATCTATTGTAACTTTAATACAATAACTTACAAAATATTAGCTTTGTCACATGTAAGTCTGTTGAAAATTTTGCCCTAGTCTTATTGGGTTTGTTTTATCTGTGTTGCTTTATTACTTTATGATTATGATATGTATCTACATGTACAAGTATACATCTTGAATTTTTCCACCGTGGGAATAAGATTCATTCTCAAAGCCATTTCTTGGTTATGCAATAAGTAACTCATGATTTGGTAACGAGTCACAACAACATTTTGATGTACACATGGAGTTGAGGTTGTAATATTGCCTTTCTTTTTCCTTTTTCTTGAACTAGAAGTAGCTCTTTGAGTATTGTCCAGTCATTCAACGAAAAGACATATTTCTTTGGTTCAGGCTCTTACATTATTGTTAAGTTACATTAAATGCTTACAGTGTAACATTTCCTTGCATTATCGTTAAGTTGATGACATTTTTATAATACATGGTTCTGCCCTGCTTGGATTGACTCCACTCCCCTGTATTCTACTTCTTTAATTTTGGGTCTGCTTTTTTTTTTTATAAGGTCACTTTATATTCACATCAAAACTCATCAGCAAAGCCTGATGAGGTGGGATTTACAGCCCCTAGGGGGTAATTTCAAAAGCCAAAAACTGGGCAAAACTTTACAATTGAGCTTTAAAATCCACTAAGCTATCTACCTCCCCCACCAAATCCTGTTTACACCAAAAATACAGCAGGCTCAAGCTATTCATCTTGATTTTCTGAGTGCTGTTAAGTTTCCCATCATGTGATCTTTCATTTCTTTCTTTCCACAATGTCCACCAGATGCAGGCTGGGATGCATTTCCACCAGTCCTCTTTGGATCTTCTTCTTCTACCCACTCCTTCCCATTGTCTCAACAACTCTAAAGTAATCTTGGGCATTACCTAGTTAACTCCAAGTATACATAAGAACATGTCCCACAGATTTGCAACTGTTCTGCAGTGTAAGAATAAGTGACTATTAACTTCTGCCTCTTCCCCACACATGAAACACCTTGAGCAAATCTGTATACCTCTTCTTTGTAACACTTCATGAGTTAGACATGCTTTCCTAATTGCCAACCAAATAAAATCTGAGACCTTGTAAGGAACCTTGATTTTCCAGATTAGTTTCCAAGGCCATTCCATTTCCATAGCCTGATTAGAGTTTAAGCTCCAGTAGCAAGACTTCACAGAAAAAATCCCTTTTTTGTGCATTTTCTAGATTGGAGTATCAGGACTTTCAGTGACACCTAGAAATGCATTTAGTGTGTGTAATAATCCTGCTACTCTATCAACCTCCCAGTCATTTAAAGCCCTTCTAAAGATCAAATCCCAACCTTGAGGGCTCATGTGGTTCCATGGCTTAGGCTAGGTCTACTTTCAAAAATTTAACAGTATGTGCTACTATTAGCATGATTAAACTCTTCTATATATTTACAGTTCAAAATGCATAGCATGTTTAGGATTTAAAAAAATCCATGTCTCTGTTTAATATCATCTTAGATGTGGGAAAAGTATTGTATATTCTACATTCTATCAAATAGTACTAAATCAATGCCTATGTTAAAAGAGGTTTTTCATGTGAAGATCTGACTGTGAATACATGTTTTTTTTCAGAGTATACATCACCTTCCAATTGACAATTCAACGATTCATTTTCCCCTGAAACTCCAAAGTCACTGCCTCTCTGTGTTATTCTAGTGAGTAGTCACCAATAAACCTTCTCTTATGGGTAACAAATGGGCATTTAAGTTTTCACATCTCCATGATCTCATTCGCAACACGTTATACACCAAAAAGTAGCATTATTTCCCCTGATTCTTCATGTTGTTTTTGCGAATGCCTTCACATTTGTTAAATGTTGTAGTCAATTACTACACAATCTGTTTCTGTCTGACCTTGTTATTATGTATGATCTTTTCCTTGTGTAGATACTTTCAAAATTGAATAGGAGTTAAGAATTAACATTAATTATTGTTGAAATTAATATGTTGCATTCAGGGTTCATACATCCTTCTTTGCTTCCTATATTTTTTCTTTCTTAGAAACTGGATAAATTTTTTTAAATCAGGCAATACACATAGCATTGGAAAGACTATACTGAAATTATTTCTTTGATTTCATGTAGCTGGTTGATTTTTTTGTAGGCTCTTTGTTTCATTTCATATTTTCATTTCTATGAAGTGCATCTCATTTACGCTTATTTCTTTCTCGGTTGGTGTAGACTTCAATTCTAATCTTTCAGTGGTGCTTCTTGCTGTTGAAAGTGACTGCAAAACTACTCTTTTGAAGGCTCTGTGTTGATTTGTTTTTGTAAGGTATGTTTTTTTTTCTAAGCCTTTCTTCTTTACTAATATGGTTTTGAAAATATTTCATGTATTTGTCCAAATTTTTTTGGTCATTTCTTTTGCTATGTTATTTAATCTGGTCTTATCGGCCATTTCTTAAGAGGTACTGGTGGTTGCGATCTTTTAGTGTGTTCCATCGATTTTTGAGTAATGGTAACTACCACTGTCCAAACTTTAATGTGTTCAATACATGTAATAAAAAATTGCAGAACTGTAAGAAAATTTAAATGCTACAAACAGAAAAGTATAAATACTTCACC